TATAAAAGCGTATTATGGTTAATAAAAATGCTTATAAAAGATATACTGGACACATTGATATCAATAAGTTTAATATCAATGAACAAGAATGGCAGCTGAAAACTTTAGTGATACGTTTCTAATATTGTAAATTTCGATAGAAAATGAAGTTTTTGCAATGAAGTCATTAACCTTCTAGAGCAGGTTGGAAAGGAAAAATGATGTAGGCCACTAAAATCTCCAGTAAATTCTTTGGTTTTGGAACACATTAATGATTAAGATTTCACGTTATAAATCATGTAATATCAAGTAGTTCTACAGATATTTGTGACTTAAAAATTAAGATAATTAAAAATGTTAATGTCATAGTATGTCAGCTATTATTAGTTCATCGAAAGTATATATATAATATACCTTACGTCTTATCATTTTGTTGTACATATTTTTACAAACAATTTCTTAGTTAACCCTAGAGGGTAAAGACCACTGTTGGGGACAGATACTTTTAAAAGTATCTAGATACAGATATAGATATATGGAAGATAAAAGTATCTAGATACAGATTGTTTTCGATTTTTTCGAAATGTATCTAGATACAGATACAAAAAACAGATACTTTTTGAACTTTGGCGACTAAATAACTGAAAACATGTTTATGTATCTTTTTATGTTCCACAGGTGCAGAAGAAGGGATTGTGGTATTAAATTTAAACAATAAACATTTTACTGTAGCATAGTTATTCAAGACTGAAAAATTTTTTCTTTTTTCCTGCAAATAGGCCATCGCTTCGCTGTCTGATGTGTCGCAAATTGTGCAATATTTATTACGTATGCTTAAAAAGAATATTTTATTTGTTTTTATTCCCATACTAGTGTCAAAATTGTGTTTGAGTATATCTAATAATTATCTCCAGCATTAAAATTAATATTTCAAAAGAATACGGAAATGATTATTCTGTGCTGAAGGTCTATTTTCGGCAACCTGTTATAGATTATTATTCTTCAATATCGGCTTACGATGTTTTTATGACCAAGTCCGGTAATCGTCTATCCCGGTGCGGCAGGTATATACATTTTAGGAAGAATTGCCGGTTCCGTTTAAGGCAAAATAAGTACAATTTCTTAGAAAGGTATTTAAACCCCTTATAGGATCAAAGGCTGCCTGGGAGGCCGGAATCACCAGAGTGCAACTTTAAATTTTCAGATTTTTGTTGAAACTCATTTTATTTTAATCTCGTTTTACGATTTCTGAGAGTATATCACCATAAATTATTCTACCGAGGGTTGTAAAAATATTAATTTTATTGCCCAAGATTTACACTTAAACATAATCGGCACATTCTAGGGCAAAACGGACCTGCCCAGCCCGCCTCGCGTTAGGTCCAACAATGAAAAAGTGAAGAAATGACCCATGTGGCAACAGGAAAAGATGCTACATTTGTCTGAAAAATAAAGGTATAAAACAGTAACAAATATGCGATTTATGGGAGAGAAATGTATGTATTGAACATTCGATTAGTCGACTACAGAACTAATTTGTGCTAATTGCAAAAATTAATCATTATGTAACACGCAGTTATTATTTTCTAAAAATAATAACATATCTTAAACAAATATTTTTACTATTAAAATTACTCTTATTTAATAACACAAATACAAGCAGCGGGCCTACCGGACCCGGGTTGCTAAGGTACACAGATAAAATGCGTTGCCCCGATAAGCGTAAAACGCAGTGAATAGTGAATTGTGGTTTATGGTTTTTAAAATACCATCTTGCCATGGCTTAGATTTATTACCCCTCAGGATTATATTTAAAGATATATCAGTACTGAAGGCTATAATGTAGGAAATGATGGTATTTAAAATATGAAAATTTCCGTGACAGAATACTATTAGTGGACCTCTTACCTCTATTTTTGTTTATGTGACCAAAATCACAAACATGAAGTATCAAAAATGACTACTAGTATAACTCAACTATGTAATAACTACTGAAAAAAAAGTGAAATAAAAAAATATATCTGTATCTGCGCCATTAATTTTGTATTTAGATACAGATATTTTGTGCTCAAATTCAATTTTATCTAGATACAGATACTATACACCCAAAAATGTATCTAGATACTTTATTTAGATACAAGTATCTAGATACTGCCCAACACTGGTAAAGACTGGATCTTTATTCCTGAAGTTAACCAAGAAAATAACAAATAAATTTTGAACATGAGGGTTTTTCCCGATGAGGTAAATAAATATGGTTAGAATTTTATCTAATTTTTTGAAAATCTATAAAATGATGGTAGCACTTCTAAATTTTTGTAAAGAAAGTAGATCGTTCAAAATAAGTGAAATCGTTATTATGATAAAAAAGTGGAATTTTTTGGGTATAGTTCGAGAAACAAGTAGTTGTATAAAGTTTTAATCATTCTTAAAATTTTGCAAAATCTGACTTAACAATGTATGTAAGTATAACACGTTCACATCCTACATATCTGAAGAGGCCACTTGAGCAGAATTCTCTAATTAAATAAAACACTGGTAGCTAACGTGAGTTACATTATCTTCTTGATGATCAGTTACTGTTTGCGATAATTTAAGCGATTATATCTTTAACTTTCGATGGTTTAAACTGAATACGTTTTATTATTTTACCTACTTAACTACTATTTCAGTTATGGTTAGTTAAACAGTAATACGGAAAGTAAGTGCTGTCAAATTGATTTCCCAAGTACATATACTAAAATCTTTAAAACCCCACCTTGTGTCCATTATGAGTAATAGGTACTTCTTACTAAAATCTTTGACAAAGTTATAAGCACAGTGTGTATAACTAACTTTATGAGAACATTATTAAAATCTTTGAATCAATTTGTTTCAAAGGATAATCTCTGTTGCTATAAAATTTCTAGCAAACTAGAAACGTTTTTCTTTTTGAAAATAGTACTGCATACACTGCAGATTAATTGGAGGCATGAGATAAAAAAAAAACCGAAAAATTTGTGTTATCCATTTACAATTTTTGAAAACACTGCTTTGATTGCAGCAAATCTCAAAATCTTTTATATCTATGAACATGTCTACACTTAAAAATAATGAGTATCACTATCGATTTACATTGTCGATAAGACCAATGAGGAACTTTTTATGCATCATTTAAGCTTTTCGTAAGAACAAGATATTTACTGTTGGCTTAGACTTCATTAAAGTAAAAAAAATGATTAATTTCTGAATACTTAAATGTACTGTACAATATACATTTTTAATTTCAGAAATTCGTTCATATCTTTTAAAGATCTTCAACATTAACTTTTGTAACCAAGTTCCATACCTTCATTTGATAAAGTGAGCTTATAAAATCAGGAATAAATTAGATTTGAAATCCAAGAATGAAATATGTTAAACACGGTCAAAATAGGTCCACTTAGGTTTTAGACGTATAAAAACGATTTTGTAAAAATTTTGGCTCGTAATACCAGTCTTTCAAGATCTAGTCGAACTCTTTGTTCGTCCAATATTCTATTAGCTGTTGACAAATCCAAATTTTAGTTACACCAAAAAGAGATTTCCACTCTTAAGAAGTGGATTGTTACTTATTTTATTAACCTAGAATTTGGAGATGATCTAGCTAATTTCAAACCATATGCAAAATTATTACTCTTTAGTGAACTAATGTTCCAAACTTAAGGTATACATTTTACTTCACTTTGAAATTAATCCGACAAAAAAAAGATGCCGCCTAAGATCTAAACATTTATACAATGATTGTCAAATAAATATTTCTTCGTTACAAAAACTATTTTAGACCATAATCTACAACCGTGTCTCTAATTGATTTAAAAATCTCCAATAATAAAAAAACCTTATATGTTGAATATTTCAATAAGTACAAGTTACAAAGAAAGATTTTTTTACTAGAAATTTAAAAACACTAGTACAAGAAAAGTTACATTATTAGAATATGTATTGTTTGGTTATATTGCAGTTAAAAAACTATTATAAGATTTTGTATTGTTTTTGAAATATGTCATAAAGAACCAAAAATTTTTAAATTATTAAAATTCAAGAAATAATTCGATTTGCTATATGTTTTGCAACAGAGAATACCTAATAGTCATTTCTTCCTACATATAAGTATAAAGATTTGGTGAGCGTGCTAATATAGATATACTCAGGAGAAATGTGTATTCTATACTAGTTCTATGGTGGCCATCATTTTAATCATTTACACTTCATTACTCATAAAATAAAACGTAGATGTATACGTTCGTGGATTTTTTTAAACATACTTCTGCTATGAAATATTTAGCTAGAAATAATTTGATCATTCCACATTCTTTTTGGTAAAAAATATTTATGGACGATAGATTGATTTATTGCAGTGCAATCATCCTTCCATTAAAAGGATTAAAATCCCCTTCAACAAAAATCATTACCGCTATAAAATCAAATAAATTTTGGTTTAAACAGTCGCACGCGTCTGGAACGTGTATCTAATTGTCTCGTCGTCAACATCCCTTGTTATTTATTGTGCATCATAAAAAACATTGCTCTACGTCAGACATAATCAATTGTTCTAACGATTTTTACTATTTAATTATACTCATAGTTCGAATATGTACTTGTTTTCAAGTGTTATTAGTCCCTCTTGATATTCAAAAATACAAATATTGCATCATAATGTACATGTTGTTTCCACAGAAATGTTTTTCGGTTTTTGCCAAACACAGATATTTATTGCAAAATCAGATTTTGAGAAAATCATAAATCTTAGACTTAAGATTACACGTGAAGGTTTTACTTAAGCAATTCATTAAATTCACGGTGACAACAATATCGTAATAAAACAGACAAATAAAAAAATGTATTATGATCATTGTTTCATCTGACACCTGATTTCTTCTTTATACGAATTTTACATTAACTGAATCACGTATAGCTGATTACACAAAAAAATAATAGATAGCTGTATCAATAATAAAATTATCTATTCTGAGCTTTCAGTTTCTTGGCAATACGAATCTATATAAGGACGTGGAAGACACTTTAACCCCTAGTATAAAATATTTTGGTGTGGTTGAAAGTAAAGCAATAAAATGAAGAGCAAAACGGCGTCTGAACAAGTTTCCATTACGGAAAGGTTTATGTGGCTTTTTAATACTCTGTTTCATCAGACGTACGCTGTTGTAACTGTTTTCATATTTTGGACTATTTTTTACAACAATAAACTGGATGCACAGTTTTCCTGGCACATGATACTTTCTTCCTTGGCGGTAAGTATTTTGGTTTTTCTTTGAAAATTTTATTTTATCGTGTTAGTAAAATACCTGTTGTACAATATTAACACTAAACTAACATCTTATTTTGAAAATAACAAATTAGCAACAATTTACGTAGTCCCATGTCTTACATTGCTAAAATAGTATTTTTATTTATTTTTATGCACTTTGTTTCGTGATATTCAAATGATATTTCTTTATTGTTGTAAACTTTTTATTAATCTTAATTTAAATAAAATGAGACTAAACATACCTAAAATTTAGTTTTTTCAGTGACAAAAGGCACCAATTTTATGTTACAATTTTATAAGTGTACCAAATGAAACTTGAAAAATTCAATAAAGTTCTTACATTACTATACATTTTAACTAGTACCTAGATATCTTAAATAGTAACTAAGAATTCGTTGTACCCTGACAACAGAAGTGCTGCACTATACTGTTGCATATAATTTTTTATGAACAGATAAGATAATTTTGTAATAATTTTTTCGAAATCTCTTTGTTCTCACATTTGCCACTTTAAATCACATTGATTATTTTTTTTTTAATTTATATTTGATAAACTGACACGATAGTCATAGAAGAAGTGCAGTCTCACTCGCTGAACTACTTTTTCGGCTAGCAAGGTAGGAAATAAGTATAATTCGATAATAATTACTCTTGCATTATGTGTTCCATTTTTCTCTGTCAGAAGACAATATTTCGACCAAGACTTTTTACATCATACAAACTGTTCGTTACATTTTGAAAATCGATTCATAGAGCAAAGGTAACAGTTATCTTAAGTGTAATTAATTATGTAAACACCAATTTATTAAAGAAGAAGTAGTCGTCATATTAATATCCGTGATGTATTCTTTAGAGTTAAAGTAAGAATAAAATGAATTATTACTTTATAACTGGAATTAATTTATGCTTGAAACTGTCATTTTATAGTCTGCCATCAATCATGTTCAAGCGATTCTGAAAAAAGCTTGAACTCTGATGAATATTGGGATATATAAGTATCGACCACGTGAAAATAGGTATACTTGGACGAAAATTAATTATTAAAGAGCAAAAAATTAAATAAGTAAGAACACAGATAAATAAAATTAGATTAAAAAACAAACACTTCGCAGTTGGCGTTTTATTTGAATTTATATTTAATGCATCCTTTAGTGTTAGTTTATGATTAAATTTTCCTAAATAATGAATCAATAATAATAATAATAAATGATACAATATTTATTATAGTCTCTTCGATTCAAGTATTCAGTGACCCCGCCCCCGGTATAAATGTCAAAACTGTGAAGTTTTTTTCAGTTTCAGGCAACTAAGTAGCTTAAATTTATCGGTTAAATAACGTTATTAATTTAGCAGTTTTACAAATGAGGCCGAATAATAAACTGAACAATATTTGAGGATTTTCTTAATAATAAAATTAAAAAAAAGTTTTCTAACGATATTTACTTCTTTGTGACGGAATCACAGTCTGAGCTAATGAGTTCTTTTAACAAAATTAAAACTGGAGTTTATTATCTTATAGAACGAATTGTTCAATATTTTTCAAATCTACCTATATTTAACAAACTTTGTTCTTGAGATATCCATACCAAAATATTAGTGTAATAATTAATAACTCGAAATCAAACATATTATTATCTCCATAATAACATCGAGTATTTCGATATAAAATAGTCATTTAGTAAGCTCAGTTTAATTATTAACGAACGAAATATCGTCAAGAGTCTGTACGTACTCCTACGTAATTTGAAGAATGAATATGGAAAATTTGCAGCTTATGCGAAAACTTAATCATAACTGTCTGAAAAATAGCAACGTGAGAGTGCATCATTAAGCCGTTTGACACGTAAACACATTTTTATAAAAATTTTGTATGCAAATTTTCATACAAAGTTTCACATCGTCTCATACACAGAATAAATTGTGTACGAAAAGTGCGCAAATAAGTTCTGCGCAACCCATACTATCCAAACATCTACTCTATAAAAATAAACATGTCAGAAGAAGCCCTCAGACACAACCATGGACATTAAAACAAAATTTACAAACAAGATTATGTCAAAATTTGACTAAATGCCATCAGTCATACCGTGCTTTAGAATCAAATTACCCTAAAAAAGGCATCAACAGGGCATGCGCCGCTACAAAATTCTTATAAAAATTTTGTATATATATACAAAATATATACCGGGTGTCTGGAAAATGGCGGATTAACTCTCCGCTACGCTCTTAACAATCAACTGGGGAGTCTGGGAAAAATAGTAAAAAAATCCCTCCCACATTTTGGTGGAGTTATAATGATTTTACAATTGGTTCTTTTGCTACGTTTAACAACTAAACAACTCATTCGTTATCACAATAACTAGTAATAAAACTCTTAGTTAAGGGCGCTGCTACAGTAAAATCCACAAGAAATTCAACTATACGCATCTCCATTTATAAAATTACGTTTTTTTTCACATCTACATCATAAAGGATTTTTTTATTATATTTTAGGGACTCCCGAAACCCCCGTATATAACGTACTGAAGAGTTAATCCGCGATTTTCCAGATACCTGGAACTATATGTATAGTGGCATACAGAACTTTCATCTTGTATAAAAATTTTGTAATAAATTTGGTAACAAAAGTTTCATACAAAGTTTTATAGAACATTTTTATAAAAAATTACCATCGTGTCAAACGGCTTTTCAGAAGCTTAATTTAAGAGCCCACAGCATTGTTGGATACCTATTGTGGTAAAACTACCAGCAGTTCCTTATCAAACTTTTCATCCACATTTGTAAAAATTAAATAAAAATTGCTTTAAAAATTAACCGTAGGTTATCACTGTTATCACGCTTTCGAGATGCAAAGCACGGCACAGAATACGAGCGTCTGTGTCTTGTGTCTAAAAAGCTTGGCAGTTTCACGAATTTAGAACATACTTTCTTATAATTGTTCAATTTTGCACACTTCTATGTAGAGTCAGTTATCTTACACTTATACATAATTATAATTGTACTATACCTATATAAGCATTAAAGTGAGTCTTTTTTAATCCAAGTACAAAGTAATCGCTTTAACCTTTACCGGTCTTTGAATGAATACATATTAAAAAGTTATTAATAAAAGTATAATGCACTCAACTGAAATAATTATTTTGATAATGATTAATAATAAACAAAAATTTGCTTTGTTACGTTATTTATTTTTTATCACCTGATTTTTATTACTTTATTAAAGTAATTTAATCATTTCATATAAATATATATAAGCCAATGCAGATGTTAGTGACACCGTGATCAAAGACGTAAGCTCCAATATACCGAATTCTGTTATATAAAATATTCTTGATGTAATCACTAATTAGATCGGTGCTTTAGTGTATTTAATTCCTATTCTCTGATCAATCTTGAGTTCATCATCATCACATTTATAGTTTCCCCAGTTCTAATTCGGTTTTATGATGTGTAAAAGTTAACTTCCTTTACTACAGATTACTACTACCGCGGATAGGACAGTCATAATTCATAAATAAGGATTTAACCATGCCGTTACCCTTATACTGTGTAATAGTTAAACCCTTATTTATGAATATGACTGTCCCATCACCGGCAGTAGTAATCTATTGTTGCAGAAGTTAACTTTTATACAGTGGGGTACTATCATAAAACCGAATTAGAACTGGGGAAACTATACGCAAAATAAGCTACGCCCCTTATCAAATATGCCTTCTGTCTCATCTGACTAAAACTGTTTGATTTCATTTTCCTTTTTTCACGTCATAAGTTTTTTTTATATTTTTTAATCGAGATGTTCCCGCAGAGAGAGAGAGAGTTAAAAAAATTAACACATTCAGTTAACTACTACTTAGTTCAATTCCCGTATTAAACAACTGATTTCTCTTAACTGTACAAAATGGTACACCTTTAATTCTATTGTGTACCCTTTTGTTTTTTTTTTATGTTGTTATTCAGTTAATTTATTATTCAGTACAAAATACGATAACTATCATTCCATTACAAACGTTATCTTTTAAACTTTCAGAGAAAGCTGTGAAAATTTTCCACGATATGTCACAGACAGCAAGTATTTACCGATATATAATCACAATCCTATAGATAGAAAAGATAGAAACATACAATTTGTGGCTAATTCCACATATTTAGATTTAAGTGTTACCTATTTCGTTATGGACGTCATCTATCTTTCAAGAGTAACATCTATTTCACTTTTTGGTTTCTTGTTTATTCTTTGAAATTATAGCCCGTGAGTTATAAAATTAGTACCATAATTTGCATTTTCCTGGACCTAAAGTTACAAACGGGGATAAAAAGTATGCATGTTTCCAGCGATATTGGGAACATCTCGGGATGACGTCAGTAATTTTTCAGAGACTGAAAAGGCAAATTTTAGTATCTTATCATTTTTACGATAATCTGAAAAAACATTAAAAATTTCGAAGTAATCGATTTTGGAGATTATCTGTCTAATATAATCGTTGACAGACGAGACATATGGCAGACAAACTGAAACTAAAAGCTGCACTCTCGACCTATTATTTGTGCTATGAAAGGTCCAGACAATGTAAGATTAAAAATCCGTCAAAGCCAAAATACGATAACTATTAATCCATTACAAACATTATCTTTTAAACTTTCAGAGAAAGCTGTGAAAATTTTCCACGATATGTCACAAACAGCAAACATTTACCGATTTATAATCACAATCCTATACACAAAATAACGAAAATTTAAAACATGATGCGATAAAGATATGTAGAAAACATACAATTTGTGTCTAATTCCATATATTTAAATTTAAGTGTTACCTATTTCGTTATGGATATCACCTACCTTTCGAACGTTGCATCTATTTAACCATTCGGTTTCTTATCTATTCTTTGAAATTTTATCCTTTGGGTTATAATCTCTAACACAAAGTTAGTACCAAAATTTGCATTTTCCTGTACCTAAAGTTAAAAATAGGGATAAAAAGTGTGCAAGTTTCTAGCGATATTGATAACATTTTGGGATGACGTCAGTAATTTTTCAGGGGACGCAAAGGCAAATTTTAATATCTTATCACTTTTAGGATATTCTGAAAAAACATAAAAAATTTCGGAGTAATCAATTTCGGAGATTATCTGTCTAATATAATCGTCGACATACAGACAGACGAGACATATGGCAGACAAACTGAAACTAAAAGCTGCACTCTCGACGTATTATTTAAGCTATGAAAGATGGAGACAATATAAGATTAAAAATTCGTCAAAACCATCTATCAATAATCTGAAGAAGTAAAAATGCGAGTTCGGTGTATCATCTTTAAAGTATACCTACACTTCTAAGGCTGAAAATAATTTTAAATTCGAAAGTTAACAATGAAGTGTATTTTTTTTTTCAAACCGCCACACAATTGAGACACCCCGAAAATATAAAGTTTTACTTGTTTTACTTGCAGTACGTTCCTTTAATGGGAGAGGCTATAATTCTGTTTGCTGGTGACAATGTGTGGAGCAGAAAACTAGAACGAACTACAAAGTATTGGATTCATGGTGTCCTTCTGTTCATTAGTGCAATTTTGGTCACAGTTGGAATTGCTCTTATGATTGATGAAAAGGGAGGCTCAGAACATTTTAAGAGTATTCACGGTTGGACAGGTACGCATGCAATTGTGTGTTTTTTTTTTATTTTAACACAAGTGTAATTTTAGGATTAGTGTCTTGGATCTTCGTACTGATGTCTCAGTGTCTCGGACTATTAGCAGCCAAAGCTCAAATCTTTAGCAAACTGCTACCCCCAGTGTATATCAAATTCCTCCATAACTTTTTGGGGATATTAGGTTACGTTTTCGGAATTGTGAGCTTGTGTTATGGACTAGAAACACGATCTTTTGCCAAAGTGACATCTACAGAAGCTCGGACGGCAACGTACTCCCTCTTGGGCGTTACCACGACGTGGAGCATCCTTGCAGCTTTGAAATCTGGCTACAATCAGTTAAAAACTATTTTGTCTTAATCGTCATCGCCTCTTTTAAATTATTTTGATAAACTTGTCGATTGCCTCAATCAAACTTTATAGACGTTCCACTTAGGTATATCATGTTTATCACGGATTAGCTCACTTCACCTAAGCCGAATAACGATCTTTATTATTTTATAACAATACTCAATTGACGGAGATGAAAGGGATAAGTATATACCTGTCTAGATAGCCCCTTTTTTCGGCATAGTTATTTATTAATTACCGAGATTGTTAATTATAATTTCTTTTGATCCTGAGGCGTAACGGAAGAGACAATCATTAAGAATCTGCAGCATGTGCTTATTGTATTGTATTGATATTATCACGTTTATTTATTGGGAGATACGACTAATTTAAGTGCAATAAAGTGCTCTCGTGTCATTTTTTTTCTTCTTTGATTTGATATTTCAGACAAACAAGTGACAAACATAAGGTTACTTTTTTGACTTGACCTTTTTACCTTTTTGACATGATTTAAAATTGATAATCACGCTGTTATGTTTTGTTACAGCTATTGTTAAAATAATAGCTGCAGATATTTACCCTTTGGGATACGTTTTTTTTACGAACAGCAAATGAATAGTTATATCACACCAAGTTTGACGTATTGATTCTATATCTACGATCCATTTTTTTCCACCGCGTAAAAATTCGCGGTGATGCAGATGATCATTGCATATATGTGATTCTTTGATGGTTGATTCTACTGGACGTTATAACGTGACGGTGTAAAAATGGCAAAAAAGGAGAGTTATTATTGTAAAGTGATTTACTTAATCAGTTGTCAATGGAGATGTGATTCTGACTTCTCATTATATAGCCTCTACAGTTAAACCAGTAAAGGCTAGGATTAACTAATGACTAGGCAACTAATGTTGCGATTTTTTAATATAACAATATTTTATATCGTGTAACGCTCGGTTTTGCATGATTTTTCAAAATATTTTCAACTAAATACTTTTATACTTGTGTTAACAAACTAGTTACCATCGTGTGTACGTTGCTTAAAACTTTTTTGTACAGCGGTTTGAGATTTCGAAATTTCGTCTTACAATTATTCCTGACAGTGTGTGATAAAAAATAAGAACAGAATCTGTTGACATTAGGATAAGTATCATATTGATAATATTTATAATTTCATAATAAATTTATAGTAGATTATACACTGATTTCTAGAGTAAACGCGGAGAAAAAATTTTATATTTAAAGCTAAATTATAATTGTACATGTAAAATACTAATATTATGAGATAGGACTATTATTTAAAATTCAAATAGTAGTACACGTGAGATTATTATAGCTAGCTTAAAAAGAATGTTTGATGTAAGAAGAAAAACTTAGATTTATTTCCAATTCATCATTTAATCGTCAGAAGTTGAGCAAACGGTATTTGTCATATGAGAAAAAAAATTGCTTCATTGATAAAAAATTATAAAGTGTTTCAATACAAATGAAGAAATATTTACTTAAGTTTTAGAACAAAAAGATCTGCTTGATTTTAGATACATATTATTGTACGACTTTTTTTTAAGGGAATTTTGTTATCAGTTAAATTCCCTTTCAATTTTACATTTTTGTTTCCTCTGCTTCCAGTATTTCAGTTAAAATTGGAAAGATAGGGCGAAAAAATCTCAGTTAAATTCGTTATCGAGTAGATCAGATTCAGCATTTGACAACCACTAAGCTTCAACCGAAAGTAGAATACTTCATGAAAAATTGAAATGCTTTCTAAGAGGTGTTGATTGAAAACTACTATATGTGATACGATGTTGTGTTCAAATATATAGGAAAAGGCTACTTTAAAAAACAAAAAATAGCTGAAATATCAAATTTTCATCAATAACTTTTTTAACTTCAATTAGATAGTTTTTTTTTAATTCGTAAAATTTTAAAAATTTTGAACACACATTTTTGTCTGGTCGCACAAATTAATGCAAAATCAATTTTTTTTCACCCAGAATGAATCATTTAGTGCTAAAATTTTAAGTAACAATAGTTTATTATAGACAGATTTAATTTCTCAAGCTGAGGATTAAATAGATTTATTGTCACATTGCCAAACATACTAAGTCTGAAATTTTATCTTCTAACGGGAAATTGATTTGTTTTTAACCAAAATTAAAAAATATATATGCGCCACAAGTTAACACTAGAGCGACTAACATCATATCTATCACAATGGTTTTTCTTTATGTAAATGAGAAGTAATTCTAAGAACCATCTAGAAGCAGACATAACAGTAGCAAAGAGCAATTAAAAAATACCCATTCTCTGACAAAATAGTTCTATTTAACCTCCACTACGTGATGAAATGAAGTACGTGATTGCGATTGAAATGTAATTAAAATTTTATCTTTAAATCTACCGATATAAAAGCGGAATACAGAAATTTAAACCTTACCAGTGTGGAAATCAAGCCGACTTCAAAATGACTAACATTTCATCAAAAACTCCAAAATCAGTGCCAAAAAAAACTTCTACCTTCTACGAACGTTTGTCTTGGATTTGCAACACCATTTTTCACCAACTAGTTGCCGTTGTGGGAACTTTTATCTTGTGGACTTTATGTTACAATTTTGAAAATAAACTATCCAGATGGCACATGATTTTAACCAGTACAGCTGTAAGTAAAATACTAAAATATTCGGTATAAAGATTACCCCAAAATTTATTATAGTATATTCCTCTAATGGCCGAAGCGATTGTACTCTTCGCCAGTGACAACGTTTGGACGCAGAAGATTCCAAGAACCACACGGTACTACATCCATGGTTCTTTTCTTTTCACCAGCGCTGTTTTTGCGACGGTTGGAATTAGTTTCATGATTAGCACAAAAACAAGTCATTTTCGATCAACACACGCATGGACAGGTAACTAAATGCAACATTTTTGAAATGGTAGATTTTAAGCAAACTGTCTTTTAGGATTAGTGTCGTGGATTTTTGTTTTGTTGTCGCAGTTCCTTGGAGTGGCTTCGGCGAAATCTCAGTCTCTAAAATTTTTACTGAGACCTGTTTGGTTCAAATTTATTCATAATTTGTTCGGTATGTTGGGATATCTTTTTGGCCTCACGAGTTTGTGTTATGGACTTGAAAAGCGCACAATGGTGAATTCGGCAAGTTATGAATCTCGCTTAGCTACTACTGTTTTAATAAGTATAATAGCGGCCTGGAGTGTGATTGCTGCTTTAAAGTCAGGATACAACCAGTTAAAGGCCATTTTTAGTTAGAATTTATAAAGTATTATCTTTAAAGAGTGTTACCATAGAAATCTCATTAGAATACTAGTGTTTTAACTAGTTACTACTATATATTTTATTGTATTAAAGTGTGGTGATCTAAAATAACCAGAAAAATATATTTCGGAAGCTGTACATATTTTAATGTAGTAAATATTTATTTATAAGCTTATTATCTGACATATGCATAAATAATAACTGGAGATATTACAAATAATCCTTGTATTTATTGTAAAAAATACAGTTTTTATAAAAGGTTAATAATTTTAAAACTTACTTCAATATTGGAACGATACTTTCATATATATATATATAGATGTTTTCAGCTTCGTCTTTTTGATTTTTGATTATTAGAAATAATGGAGGTAAAGTATAACTCTATAACATACGTCTTACTGACGTTCTTATCCATTTAAGGATATTAGAACTTTAGAAGCTAAGACTGATCCATTATTTCAACTAAAACATTTTAGGTTTCACATAGTAAACTTAATTGTAGAAAGTATAGATGACAATCACAACATGCCTGCAAACAGTCTTCTGAGAAAATCATTAAGAAGAACACAGTGCAAGGATGATTTTTGGATATGGCAACCCATCTTCTACACTACTGAAGATAAATTTTAGTTCAGCAGAATCAATGTCAAATTCAGTGTTACAAATAAAGGAGTCATAAGTGCATGACAAATATGGTTATCATTAAGTTTATATTAAGGAACTTCAGTAAGTAATTATTTATTTTAATTAATTTTAAGTCTGCTAATTTTTCATAATAATTCACAGGTAATTAAATGATATAACGCAGAAATTGTCACGAAGAAATTTGGAATACTAATTTTTTAATGTAATGATACATAAAAAAAGATATAAAATTTTATGATGTCATACATTTAATAATATTAGAAAATTTCTCAAATTCTTATCTACCTATCATAAAAAAGTACATTTCTGTTTTTTTTTGCGAATGTATTCACTTTTTTTGCCAAAGCAGTAAACTCAAATCTAATCGGTCATAAACTTCCTATTGACACGTTAATTTCATTAAATCTAAATTTTTTCAGTAGTAGGTGTAGCTAAAATGAAAAAAGTAATTTTCCTTAAATAATACCAGTAGAAACATTAATGTTTTTAAACTACAATTTATGAAATATTTGTTTGGCGGAGATAATAATTATCCTGTTATACAGGGTGATTTTTTGACCTGAAACTTACATTATATTTCCCCCACGGAATGATGAAATTTTTATTCTAAATATTTTTTCGTAGAGTGCATATTTTTCGAGATATGTATTTGAAAGTTTCAGGTAAAAAAAATCACTCTGTATATATTAAGTTCTAAAATTATAAATTAAAATTTTGTTTTGGTGACTATGAAACAGGATGCAATTATTCCAAGTGCAGTAATACTGGTAAAATATGAAAATCAAAAATGACACAAGAAAAAAATAAAACCAAGAAATATTAACTTTTACGTCAAATCACTTATAAAGCCATAAAAAAGTGTAGTGACAAGGAAGTTATTAATAGCGGGTGTATAAAAGATTTTACGTATTATGGCCCAATCAGAGAGGTGGAGTTTTTACTGGAATGTTATTTTCTTAGAGCCTTTGTCTAAATAAATTTTGAGTTTGTCTACGTTTTGTAACTCTTCTGTATTATGATATTTCGTTACATTGACTTTAGGCAAGTTTTTAAAATTCACGTAACTTTTTTATGAATAAATTTTGTTACTCGTGATTTTAGATAACATTTTGATAAAAGGCAGTTTGTTGGCCGCTGCTAAATCTAGGATAACGCCTTATCCATCATGAACAATAAATAATTGATAAAATATTGAGAAATAAATAAATGAATATCTATCAATGCACTAAATTTTTTACAAACGAGTCCCTTATATAACATACAGTGCCGTTAAATGAAATATTTCAAATTATCTTCATTTTGAACTATCCTTCAACTTAAATAAAAAAATTACGAAAAAGAACCTTCTGTATTCAAGAATATAAAATATAGCTGCGTTTTAAATTAAAGATATTTATTTGATTGGGTTTGGTGCATAAAATGATCATATAAAAAATAAATACAACGAAAAATTTTTAAACGAGTTTGTTAAGGACTATTCGAATCGAAAACACAATATTTACAAGTATAATAATTTCCTAATTGAATATGTGTATGGTGGTTTTCGAGATGTATGAAGAAAAGTAGTTTGCCACTGTTTCATAAACTAAAATTTTTTATTTGTAATCCATATCGTACTAAAATAATCCTCCTCAAATTATTCACCACGAGTAAAAGCCAGCAATATGAAATTTAAAATTGTGAAAGTCCAGTAGGCTTTAATAATCTCCATTTGTTTTAATACTACGAATAATGAAAAATCACATTTGTCATTTTTGCATATTTGGTCTAATTTTTCGAATTTTATTCCAAACTTTCACTTAAGTAAAATTCTTTGATTTAATAATAATAAATGCTTCCAACACTACCGTTTACACTAAATACGACTAGGTGAAAAATCGGACAGAAATAATGTTGATAATGACAGTTAAAGTGGCTCTGTATAACTTTATGTTTCGATCTTTCAGTAGAGGAAACCATATACAGGGTTAAGTTTTTCTAGGTTATCTTATATCAAAATCCTTTTATTTAAAGTTGATATTTATTCATAATTCTGCGACATAAGCAAAAATAGATTTAACAATTACTGCATTACGCCAACATTTTGTGAGTGGTGTTCACATAATATTATTTTTTCTCTTCCCAGATTTACATTTTCGAATATCCACAATGGTGGCCTTGCCGGAAGGCCGCAGTTTCGCAGGATTTGATTGCATCTTTTATCATTACACGTAATCCTCTGTATTACATCAGGGTGACGACAATAAGTTGTGATCTCATTTGGAAAATTCCTGTGTCAAGGTTTCTCGAGATATATGTACTAAAAATTGTGCCATTTATTGATAAACCCTCTGATAATGTTATATATTAAGTAATTTGTTTTATTTATTTTGAAATTTGAGATACCATCTCTCTCAAAACGACAACTAAAACAATCTTCGAATTATTACAATTTTTGAGTTTTTTGTTTTATCACTACTTTGTTGCTTTTGCTTTTTGTAGCAATGTAGTAATAATAATTAATAATTCTCCTTCCGTCCTCTACATAATTATGAGTTTTTTATTTTTTTATTGAAATATGATTATTATTTTTTTTTTTGTAAGTTAAAATTAATGCTTCATCTTAACAGTAGTATTGATTCAAAAATGTTGTAAATATACTTAAAATGAGAATCAGATAAAACATAATAATACTCTCCAACTAATCAGAGAAGTACACAGGCGTACGATTTTTGATAAATTTGATTATTTGCCGATTCATGTCAACATAAGGTAGTCATTCACGTTTTAGTTATAACTGTATTAATCATAAAAATAAAACAAAACATCCCTATAAATGACGTCAAAAATTTTAATAAACCTACAGTTATGTGTTTACTCACGCACTACGAAGGTTTTATTGAGCAAATATTGATTACATTCCCTAATATAACTTCATTTATAACTTTCACTGCATGCATACGCTATCAACAATTAATCCACTTATCAGTAATTGATTCTACTCGTTACCTGTTAGAGTACATTAAAGGACAGAGAATGAATTAGTAAAACATGTGTATGGCGCATCTTTTCTTTGAACGCTTTGACTGACCCCATTGTTTAAAATTACGTACACATATAAAGAATTTTATCTACTTGTAAGATATATTGATAACTAGTTCGTGAAAGTAAAGATTACAAAAAAGCGAAATTGTGCGTAAGTGTTTACCGTAAAAATGACAGCCGATGGTATAAGCATAACCCAAAGACTTTCGTGGACCCTGAACATCATATTCCATCAGGCAGTAGCTGTAATCACAGTGTATATTTTGACTACAGTTTTTGCAAGTTCGGAAGTAAATTCACTAGGAACATGGCATATGGTTTTGACTCCTCTTGGGGTAAGTTACACATTCACGTTTTACTGTATGTACTTACATTGTGTTTTATTTAGATCATGTTACTCATGATGGAAAGCTTAATTTTATTCACAAAAGACAACATATATACTTTACATATGCCAAGAACTAAGAAGCATTACATTCACAGTAGCCTCCAAATTCTGAGTACAATTTTGATAACAACAGGAATAGCATTCAGAATCAAGTCTAAATCCGGACATCATTTTACCACAACACATGGTATATTAGGTAGATATTATCCACAGTCCACATTACATAGTACTGTATGTAAAATAAGACTAAAAAAATTTTTAGGTTTGTCTGCGTGGGTTTTAATTTGGTGTTCAGTATTTCTGGGAATCGCAACATCTCAGTCGCAAGTTTTGAAGAGGTTTGTCAAACCCGTTTGGATTAAGCTGTGCCATACGCTCATGGGTGTTAGTGGGTTCACGCTGGGTGTTGTTACTTTGGGTTATGGACTGAAAGAGTACTTCGGCAGGATTTCGCACGAAAAAGTTATTATTGCGGCGATCGTAACAATGGCGATTTTATACGCTTGGGCTCTCCTTGACACTGTTAAATCCATATACAATCAAATACGTAACATATTAGGTAAATAAGTATTGTTTATTACTAGTAAAGCAGGGGCGACGCTGCGTTGTTCGTTCGGAGAGTTTAGAAATAGAATTCTGCCCTTGAACTGGTGATATCGGTCGTCTTATTTTTATTTATTATTTACTTGTTTTGCATTTTAAATAAAGTGGTAAATCACAGTGCCTGTAATTTATTAACTACTTTCCATACGCAGCGGTAATTCCCCGCTTGGAGAAAGTATGACTTTTTCTTCTTACACAGTGACAGAATTATTTTAAATTTAGAGAATTAGTAGATATAACTCTTGGCTATCAAAACATCCATGCGAGGTTGTCACAGAACATGTCCCGATTACTCTTGATCTTGAACTTACAGAGAGGACGGGGAATTCCACTTTGTTCAACATATCAACTACAAGACATTTAGACATTAACGTTTTGCAGATTTTGTTCTTGTATTTAGGTTTGTTGCAATGTCTGAGATAGGATTGTTCTGTACAAATTAATGTTGTTAGTGTAGCCATGTTGGATTGCGATTGTGAATTACATTTACTGATTTTTATGCCATGTTATTCTATGTACTTCTGAGGTAAGTTTAGCTAACTCATGATTCTACTAGTCAGTTATTTACTGAACGTAATTTTTTTATACAGGGTGCCGCATCCAAGTTTGGACATGGGCAATCAACATGGAGAATACTTTTTTATATGTAAGTATTATAATATCTCCTCAGATCACTTTAAAGCTATCATTAATAAAAAGGTTTTAAAAATCATATTTTAAAATTAGCCGTCGATCTAATTTGTCGCCAAAGATTTCGCGTCACTTCGGCGATCGCGTCCTTGGATTAGCCGTGGAAAATCGAAACGTCAAAGTGAATTTAGAAATTATTCCTCGAATCGCACTTGGAAATCACAGAACAACTCAAATTGAATTAAGTTATCCAGTGTGATTGATTATTGTAGGACAAACTAAACTGAATAAATGCAGAAATTGGTCTATTTGTCGGTGCTGAAGCACATGAATTGCTTCACGAAACTCCTGGTCGTAGTGTGCGACCTCGTAACTCCGACTACATCCAGGCCGTATCCAGGAAACGGAGATGAAGCCCTTCGAACAGCTATCTCACTCAGAAATCGCTGAACAACTCAAACTGAATTATTTTCTCCAGTGTGATAATTATTATTTTTGATGATAAATTAAACGGAATAAATGCACAAATTTTACAATAGCTATTTATGTTACAAGTAAATAATGCATAGCTTTATTGGACGCGCCCCTTTATGGCCGAGCGAGCTTGCTAAAAAGGTAAGTCTAATAAAAGGCATTGTTTACGTGTGACATACATAGCTTTATGTTTCATTCAACAGAAGATTTTTTTTGCTACTCTTTCACCTCCATTTTAAAATTGTTAATAATTTTTCGTAGGCACTGCCGTTCTCGCAGTCAAATAAATTGCGTCGCAGTCCAAATTACTTTGCAGTCCAATAAATTAGTAGATTATGGACAGTTGCAAGTGTCATAAATGGCATCGTTTTAATTGAGTCAAACATAAAATACTTAGTTTATGAGATTATACTGCTGCTGTCGTCGATTTTAGTGAGTTTAGTGTTATTAAAATCCCCCAAAAAATGCTGTTCTACTGCGATTAGATGCAAAAGTGAGGGCCTGCTTGTTTTTCAAGGGTTAATTTACTCAGTAAGTATTTCGATTTTCCACGGTTAATCCGAGGACACGATCGTTGAACTGAGACGAAACCTTTCGCAACAAATCGGAGTTAGTGTTAATTTCGAAGTACGATTTTTAAAACTTTTGTACAGTAGATGCGCGCAACGTAACCATTTGAAAACAATACTGGCCAATAGCCCTCGTTTACCACCGCAAATGCATCGCTCAATAATAGATTTAAAGTGCTTTGGGGGGATATTATAATAGTATATTAAAGCATAAATGCAGAAGGCAAGCTATTCCAAAGCAAATTCAAGTTTTATAATATTTTCTCTATTTTGACCCTTATTTGCATTAATTTAGCTTTTTTACAATAAGAACTGCAAATATTTTAGCCTTGGAGATTTTTTTTTTTTGGTAAAATAGTTACCGTTGGTGTCACTGCCCATTGTCATGGTGTCCAATTTAAACAAATGAATAATTGTTTATTATCAGCGCTTATTGCAATTTTTTGGCAGAAAATGGAAAACCCCAATAAAAATTATCAAAAAAGATTGGTTCAAGAATGTTTTACTTAAATTCTATTTTTAAAACAAAGTTAAATTTTTTAGGTTATAATGTCAAGCGCAATACTATTTTTATGGGTATTTTGAAAGATGAAAATGTAGAACTAGTTGTGGAAAGTCTGAGCAGTTAATGGAGGAAAAATATACGAGTAAATGCTCCAGGGTGTACACAATAAAAAAGAAATATTTTTATTTAATGTTAAAAAAAAGTTGCATCACTCTGAACAATTTCATATAAAAATTTAAGTTAAAAATGTCCCTGGAGAAATGTTTCGTACAGAAGTGAATTCATAACCTATGTATAAAATATACTCACTGAAATAGTTCTAAATGTTACCAACACATTCTGTTTATGTTGTACCCTTTTTGCTGCCTTTATTATACAGGGTGTTATTGAAATACATGGAAAGAAAAAATCTGGTGAATGTAGGGAACCTAAGAAATCAAATGAACGTTTGTTGTTTTAGTAAAATTTTGAAAGGAAAATTTAACCCCTATCCAAACATTCATTCCTCCACTGATAAATAATGGTTACCTAGTAACTGAAAACTGCCGAGGTGTAACTACTGTTGCTATTAATTTATTGCTAGCAACAAATAAACAATGAGAATAATTAATGAACTGACAATTAAAACTTCAAAATCATAATTTAATCAACCATAAAATGAAACAAAACGTAACGTATGCAACTAGAGCAAGTTTTCAAAATGTCCACCACCATTTCGTATACACGCTTCCGCACGTCTAATCAATGATTGTTGGGTTCTAGTTATCATTTCGGGATGTGCTCTAATTTCAGCAGCTACATTTGTTATTCTGTCCCAAAGTTCCTCAACAGAATTTACTGGTGTTCGGTAAACCAACTCTTTCATGTGACCCCATAAAAAGAAGTCGGACGCATTCAAATGAAACTCCCACTCGGTAAGACAATCGTCTAATGCTTATACCTGGATCGTTTTCAACGACATTCAAAATTTCTTCTTCGGCATCAAGTGTCCGTTCTGTCCTCACTAAAACGAGGTTGAAATTTTCCATTTTCTCGTAGACGCTGAACAACGTTAGCAAATGTTTTATGATTTGGCAATCTTCGTTCGGGAAATGCTTCTTGGTATAAACGTCGAGCTTCCAAGGAGTTTCCTAAGGCTTGTCCATACATCAGAACCATGTCAGTCATTTCAGAATTAGAAAAATTCATTTTGTTGCTCCAAAAAATTGCAAAATACGTCAAAAAATGATGGGCTAATGAATGTATTGTCATGTTAACAAGCAACAATTTTACCTACTTTAAATTACTATAGTGATCAATTTTACCTTTAACATTTTTGGAATCAGTAGCGCACACGCAAATTTTAACAGATTTTCAATCAATTTTATCTCGAAAACTAAAGGATTTTTATTAGATCAATATTTGATGCATAAATTCTCTATATCATGACCAATTACCTTAAAAAAAGTTTCCATCTATTTCAAAAATACCCTGTATAGATGTTTACCATTTTTTTTACCGCTCTGAAAAAAAATCTACATGTCAATCTTTATGTGTCAAGTTACAACGTTATTATTATTATTATTAACCTATGAGATCGGGCAAAGGCTATGCCTGCTATTTCCTCGCTATCAAATGGACTTAGTGGCATTAATTTGTACGAACCTGTTTGAACCCACAGTAGTTATCAATCATATTTGATTTTGAAACTTAGAACAGAATCAAATTCTATGATGTCAGTTGGAAGCGAATTCCAACACTGAAAAAACTGTGTCCAGTATAAAATGTTACCTTGCTGTAACCGTAAGGGAAAATAAATGACTAAGAATCTTTGAGAAACCGAAATGTAAAAATTGGATCATCGCTGCGTGATTTGATAGCGGGCGCATTACCAACAATATATCTGCATATTGCGGCCGGACTCAACCAAATAGACTGTAAAGAGCAGACGAATCCCTGCGACATTCCACTCAAAATCTGCATCCAATTACTTAAAGCACCTTCAACCTTAAATTTACACCTGCATTACCATAGAAAAGCGTCAATACACTGAAAAGTGTCCCTTAATTTATATATGTTGGAGTTTTAAGAAAAGGTCACGTTTTGGCACACATTCAAAACCACAATAGATTTAACCGGAATAAACTTAGACTAATTTTTGCCACTAGGAAGCAGTTTGTTTCATGGTTTGTCGTTAAATAAAAGTCAAAAATAAAATTTTCTCAAATTAGTTTTATTAAATTTATTCAGTAACCCTCCTTAATTGTATATATTCTAAAATCTTGCAATTTGACAATGTATTTTTAAGTACTCCTAATATTTAGACTACTTTTCTTTTCCTTTAGTTTGACTAATATTTCCTGATTTTAATATTTTGGTAATACGTACGGAAAATTATTATCTCACTAGTGATCTGCCTTTCCGCGATACCTTATCCTGTGTCAATCTTACCGTTCTGTTGACGTTAATTTGTTGTTGCGACATGCCCTATTTATAGACAGTTACTGATGTTAGTTTTGTTAGCAGACATAAATTCGACCCAAATACCACCACAAATTTGGAAGATTAAAGTATTGTGAGTATTAAATCAAATATAGATACTAGGGAAATCAATAGTAGATTAGGGACAGATTACCTATACCATCATCCAAAAAATGTATTCTCATATTTCTGAAATTGGCTACACAGTTTTTCTTTTCTTGACATTATTTAACAAGCTGCAGTTGTTTTCAAAAACTATTCACCAGTTTGGTACAACATTCCACTAGCTTATCAAACAGTCTATCAGTAAAATATTTTATTATGGATACACTCACAAAAAAAACACGTCAAGCGTCTTTGCAAGAAAAAAAGAAAAAACAGTGATACTTACAATATCTCTCTCAATTCATAATACACTGCCGAGCATTGAAATCGGGCCAGACAAATCGAGCTACTATTCACACCTGACTTTGAATCAAATTTTCCACCGAACAATATTACACTTAAAGAAACTAAAAAACCTATTAGAAAGACCAGATGTTTGTCTTTAAAACAGAGTTGTGTTAATATTCGGTGTTGCCACCCCTAGCTCTAATAACCGCTCGCATTCGTCTATTCATGGACTCAATTAAGGTGAAGACAACTTCTTGCGGGATATTAGCCATTCTTCTTCAATGATTATTCTGAGCTCTCGGAGTGACCCAGGAGCCAGGATCCTATCTCTAATTCTTAGTTTAAGTTCATCCCACAGATGTTCTATAGGATTGATATCCGGGCTACATGCTGGCCAGTCCAAACACGCTATACGCTATATTTGAATAGTTGCCCTATTTTAATGCTCGCAAGTTTAGTATATCATATATCCCATGAGACAGTAACAGTAATCAGAGTGTGTACTTTGACTGCAGTTTTTGCAAATTCGGAACTATCTTCGTTAGGAACGTCGCACATATAGAGTTTTGACTCCGCTTGAGGCAAGTTACACAGTTACAGCTGTTTTATGTTTTA